AGGCTGAATCATGCATGGCTGCACTGTGCCTGACTAAATCATGCCTGGCTGAATCATACCTGGCTGAATTATGCCTGACTGAATCATGCCTGGCCTAATCATACCTGGCTGAATTATGCCTGACTGAATCATGCCTGGCTGAATCATACCTGGCTGAATTATGCCTGGCTGAATCATGCCCGGCTGCACCATGCCTGACTGAATCATGCTTGGCTGAATCATGCCAGGCTGAATCATGCCAAGCTGAATCATTCCAGGCTGAATCAATCCTGGCTGAATCATGCCAGGCTGATTTATTCCAGGCTGAATCATTCCTGGCTGAATCATGCCTGGCTAATTCATGCCTGGATGAATCATGCTTGGCTGAATCAGGCCTGGCTGAATCATGCCTGGCTGAATCATGCAAAGCTGAATCATGCCATCGTGCCTTGCTGAATCATTCCAGGATGAATCATTTCTGGCTGAATCATGCCAGGCTGAATCATTCCAGGCTGAATCATTCATGGCTGAATCATGCCTGGCTTAATCATACCTGGCTGAATTATGCCTGACTGAATCATGCCTGGCTGAATCATACCTGGCTGAATTATGCCTGGCTGAATCATGCCCGGCTGCACCATGCCTGACTGAATCATGCTTGGCTGAATCATGCCAGGCTGAATCATGCCAAGCTGAATCATTCCAGGCTGAATCAATCCTGGCTGAATCATGCCAGGCTGATTTATTCCAGGCTGAATCATTCCTGGCTGAATCATGCCTGGCTAATTCATGCCTGGATGAATCATGCTTGGCTGAATCAGGCCTGGCTGAATCATGCCTGGCTGAATCATGCAAAGCTGAATCATGCCAGGCTGAATCATGACAGGCTGAATCATTCCAGGCTGAATCATGCCAGGCTGAATCATGCCAGGCTGAATCATTCCAGGCTGAATCATGCCTTGCTGAATCATTCCAGGATGAATCATTTCTGGCTGAATCATGCCAGGCTGAATCATTCCAGGCTGAATCAGGCCTGGCTGAATCATGCCTGGCTGAATCATGCAAAGCTGAATCATGCCAGGCTGAGTCATGCCAGGCAGAATCATTCCAGGCTGAATCATGCCTTGCTGAATCATTCCAGGCTGAATCATGCCGGGCTGAATTATGACAGGCTGAATCATGACAGGTTGAATCATGCTTGGCTGAATCATGCCTGGCTGAATCATGCTTGGCTGAATCAGGCCTGGCTGAATCATGCCTGGCTGAATCATGCAAAGCTGAATCATGCCAGGCTGAATCATGACAGGCTGAATCATTCCAGGCTGAATCATGCCAGGCTGAATCATGCCAGGCTGAATCATTCCAGGCTGAATCGTGCCTTGCTGAATCATTCCAGGATGAATCATTTCTGGTTGAATCATGCCAGGCTGAATCATTCCAGGCTGAATCATTCATGGCTGAATCATGCCTGGCTAATTCATGCCTGGCTGAATCATGCTTGGCTGAATCAGGCCTGGCTGAATCATGCCTGGCTGAATCATGCAAAGCTGAATCATGCCAGGCTGAATCATGACAGGCTGAATCATTCCAGGCTGAATCATGCCAGGCTGAATCATGCCAGGCTGAATCATTCCAGGCTGAATCGTGCCTTGCTGAATCATTCCAGGATGAATCATTTCTGGTTGAATCATGCCAGGCTGAATCATTCCAGGCTGAATCATTCATGGCTGAATCATGCCTGGCTAATTCATGCCTCGATGAATCATGCTTGGCTGAATCAGGCCTGGCTGAATCATGCCTGGCTGAATCATGCAAAGCTGAATCATGCCAGGCTGAGTCATGCCAGGCAGAATCATTCCAGGCTGAATCATGCCTTGCTGAATCATTCCAGGCTGAATCATGCCGGGCTGAATTATGACAGGCTGAATCATGACAGGTTGAATCATGCTTGGCTGAATCATGCCTGGCTGAATCATGCTTGGCTGAATCACGCCTGGCTGAATCAGGCCTGGCTGAATCATGCAAAGCTGAATCATGCCAGGCTGAGTCATGCCAGGCAGAATCATTCCAGGCTGAATCATGCGAGGCTGAATTATGACAGGCTAAATCATGCCTGGCTTATTCATGCCTGGATGAATCAGGCAAGGCTGAATCATGCCAGGATGAATCATGCCAGCCTGAATCATGCCAGGCTGAAATATGCCAGGCTGAATCATACCTGGCTAATTCATGCCTGGCTGAATCATGCTTGGCTGAATCATGCCTGGCTGAATCATGGCAGGCTGAATCATGCCAGGCTGAATCATGCCAGGCTGAATCATGCCAGGCTGAGTCATGCCAGGCTGAATCATGCCAGGCTGAATTAAGCCAGGCTGAGTCATGCCAACAGGCTGAATCATGCCTGGCTGATTCATGCCTGGATGAATCATGCCTGGCTGAATCACGCCTGGCTGAATCATGCCTGGCTGAATCATGGCTGGCTGAATCATGCCTTTCTGAATCATGCCTGGCTGAATCATGCCTGGCTGAATCATGCATGGCTGACTCATGCCTGGCTGAATCATGCCTGGGTGAATCGTGCCTGGTTGTAAGATTCCTGGCTAAACCATGCCTGGCTGAACCACGCTTGGCTGAAACATGCCTGGATGTATCATGCCTGGATGAATCATGATTGGGTGAATCACGCCTGCCTTAATTGTGCTTTTGTATAGATATCATAACCAAAAAATGATGGGGCAATCAACCAAAGTTGTTGATGAAGCTATTGCAGGTGAAGGTGTACAACATTGCACATCTGAAACCGACACTTACAGTACCGTATCACCCCGGATATAAGCGCACCTGCGCTTATAATAAAACAGTGTTTTTTAGGGGGGTGCGCTTATAATTGAGTAAAAAAATTAAGCGCAAACGCTTATAAAATGACAAATACAAATATATAATTTAAAAACACCAAATTGTACATCTCTTCCCTGCGATTTCAAACGAATCGAAATTGTGAAGTGTCACACATCAGAATCGCGCGCAGGCGACTCAGTGCCGGCGCACAGAGGCAAAGTACAGTGTAACACCTCACTTTGAGGGCGTGCCAGCTCGTGCTGACTGGACGCGCAGGATGTGAGGTCCTCGAAAGTCAACCTAAGCGAAAATGGCTGTGGCCTCGCTGCAAATTTGAAATTCGTTACCACTTCTATCAAGGATTTAAAAATAAAATTACACATGCGCTTATAATATATCATGGTTTTTGTCAGAATATAATGCTTGTCTAGTCTGTAATGGGGTACTCACTAGTGAGTATAACCCTTGTGGGCTTGCTATTTGTATCCCCCTCCTTTCTAGTTCAAACCCTCCTTTGCTCATTTCTCTCTTGCCTAGCTAGGTAAACCCTAGCTATGGCTCCTCACTCTGCTTACCATCTTGACATGGTTTCAGAGCATTTACGCTCCTGGCCTGTGGGCCCGCCTACTGCTTCCGCTGCTACTGTTCTGCTGGTCGCGCGCCCCGGGCGCGCGACACTTTATCATCCCGCCGCGCGCTCGTGGCGCGCGGCGGTTTTCTGCCCGCCGTGCGCCCCAAGGCGCGCGGCGGTTTCCTGCTTCGCGCGGCAGTTTTCTGCCCGTCGTGGCGCCCCCGGGGACCTGCGCGCTGCCCCCCGTCGCCCCTCGCGGCGCCCTGGGGGCCCGCGCGTCGCCATCCTCCCGTCGCCTCGTCGCGGCGCCCTGGGGGCCCGCGCGCCGGCCCCTCCCGTCGCCTCGTCGCGGCGCCTTGGGGGCCTGCGCGTTCCCCCCTCCCGTCGCCTCGTCGCGGCACCTTGGGGGCCCGCGCGTCGCCCCCTCCCGTCGCCTCGTCGCGGCGCCTTGGGGGCCCGCGCGCCGCCCCCTCCCGTCGCCTCGTCGCGGCGCCTTGGGGGCCCGCGCGCGGCCCCTCCCGTCGCCCGTCGAGCCGCCCTCGGGGGCCCGTGCGCGGCCCCCCTCCCGTCACCCGCCGTGGCGCCCTCGGGGGGCCCGCGCCCTGCTCCCTCGTGGCGCCCAGGAGACCCCCCCGCCGCCTCCCTTTCCCTCCGTGAACCGCCCCTGCTGCTTCCCGCGCTCCTGCCTGCGTTAGGGTTTGGGGGTGGCGGGCATGGGGGTGAACGGTGTGGTTAACCTGCAGCTCCTCCTCCTCCTCCGTCTCCCACTGCTGCAGCTGCCGCTGAGGGGGGTGGGTGTGTGGGAGCCGAGGGTTTAGGGTTTAAGGGGGGTGCCGTGGGAGTGGAGCTAGGGGTGCAGCAAAGGGTGTGTGAAACAGGGGTGGGACAGTTGGGGGAGGTTGAGCGGAGGCTGCCGTCTTGTCGTCCGCAGCACCTGTAGTCCGGGGCGCTGTCCTGGTAGCCCAGAGAGCCTACTGCGCCTGTCGCCCGTGGGTCCGTTGCTCCTGCCGCTCTTCGTAGCCGCCGAGCCAGTTACTCCAGTAGTCCGGGGCGCTGTCCCGGTTGCCACTGTGCCAGCCGCTCCTGTTGCCCGTGTGTCTGCAGCTTCAGCCGTCGCCTCCTATCTCCTCTCCTCTTACAGTCCCGCCTCCTCCTCCTCACTTGTCCTTTGTGAATGCCTCTAGCTTTGCTTGCAATTGTGAACCTGCTCTATGACTGCTTGCTCTGCTGATTATACCCCACTTTGACTATGGGGGTGTGTCAGAATATAATGCTTGTCTAGTCTGTAGTGGGGTGCTCACTAGTGAGTATAACCCTTGTGTGCTTGCTATTTGTATCCCCCTCCTTTCTAGTTCAAACCCTCCTTTGCTCATTTCTCTCTTGCCTAGCTAGGTAAACCCTAGCTATGGCTCCTCACTCTGCTTACCATCTTGACAGTTTTATAAGGGGTGCGCTTATAAATGAGGATCGGCCATAACCGCATTGCTCCAGATATAAGCGCATGCGCTTTTAATAGGCCTGCGCTTATATCCGGGGTCATACGGTAGTTTAAAATAAACAAGAACAAGAAAATGGCAATCTGATAGTTTTCAACAAGAAAACTTTGAGGAAGCTAACTATATGAGACAAACACCCCGTACATGTCATGCACATCTACATTTTGGATGTGGCCTTCATCATCCAACACTTTGTCACACCCTGACACATCCAACCGGTGAAGCATCTTCAGCTCTGTTACATCTTCCGGAAACCCTTCCAGCTGCCTACAGCCACCCAAGTCAAGCTTCTTGAGCCGCGTCAGGTGCGTGAGGCAAGGCAGGGAGCTGATGGAGGTGCTTCTGAGGTTCAGATCATGGAGGCATGAGAGTTGGGTGAGAGAAGCAGGGACGCGAGCGAGAGCAGAGCACTTGGAGAGGTCTAGCTTGCGCAACTTTGATAAGGCACCGATGTGATCAGGAAGAGACAAGAGCTTGGGAGCATGGACTTGGATGGATGTCAGCGAGTGGAGCTCCGAGACAGACGCTGGCAGCCCCGTGATCTCCCCAGCCTGCTGTATGTGCAGCTGCCTCAGCTGCGGAATGCTCGAGCCAATGTCATTTGGAAGTGCTTGCATGCGGCCCGTGCTTTGAATCGTCAAGGTGCGCAGGTTGGGGCAGAATGCGAGGGATAGCGGCAGCTCCTCTGCCTCCCCTGCCAGATGCACGTCCAGATCCTCCAAAGAGGGAAGAATCGCACACGTGGCAGTGTCTTCACTGTCCAGCCCACGGATAAGGCCAACACAGTTCAGGGTCAGTTTCTTGAGCCTGGGGAGAGCAGGGATTTGTAGGTGAGGGGTGAGGCGTTGGCAGGTCCCGAGGGTGAGAATTTGGAGGTAACGTGGAAGGGATCTGGATACTTGCATGAGCTGCGGGAACTTGCCAAGCGACAGCTCTCTCAGCAGCCCAATGCTGCTCAAACTGCTGGGAAAGGAATAGAGGCTGCTGCATTAATTGATCTTCAGAATCTCTAGCCTCCCCAGGTCAGTAACATAGTCAGGGATTTCCTGGATCTTGGGGCAGTAGTGGACGCACAACTCCCGCAGGTTCCTCAGCTTCCCGATCCCTTTTGGAAGCTCAGATATATCACATTGGCCGACTGAAAGGCTTGTCAGCGAAAACAGCTGTCCTACGGCCTCTAGGAGCTCCGCGATGGCGCACAGGCACAGGCTCAGGCTGGCCAAGGAAGCCAGCCACGTGAACGACGGTGGGAGCCGCTGCTGGGGGCGATTCTCGCTCAGGTAGAACTCGCGGAGGTTTGCCAGTCGTCCGATGTCTCCTGGGAGTTCCAGCAGCGGAGAGTTTTGGATGCAGAGGGAGCTGAGAGCCGCCAGATTTCCGAATCTTGGAGGCAGTTGTCGGAGGTCCTTGCAGTCGACCAGATTTAGGGTTTCCAACGACGTGAGCTGCGAGAAGGAAGCAGATAAATCCGTGAGATGCAGGAGGTACAGCGACAGTGACTTGAGAGCGGGCAGCTCGCCGAAGTTCTCGGGCAGGCTGACAATGTTGCAGAGGGAGATTGACATCGTGTGCAAGCAGGTCAGCGAGGCGAACCCGTGCGACAAGTCGGTTAGGTTTTCGCATTTTCGAATGCTCATCTCCCGCAGGCAAGGCAGCAGATCTCCAATCTCGTCCGGAAGACTCTCGAGCCCGTTGCAATCACGGAGTAGCAGTCGCTCGAGTCGGCTGCACGACGAATGTTGCGGAAACATCAGGTCGAATCGCGGGCTGATCTTACCGAACTCCAGCGACTTGAGAAACCGCAGCTGCGCGAACGAGAAGGCGCCATCGCCCTGCTCCCGCTCCGGTAACAACAACCGCGTTTCGTTGCAGCAGGAGAGGGTGGTGAGCGCATTGAGATGCGCGAGGCCCCACAGGGTTGGATCGTCTTGAGGATTGGTATCCACGGACAGAGCGGCGAGCGACACGAGACGCGAGAGTTTCACGAACTCAAGGGCGGAGCTGTTGGTGAGAGCCAGGGTGTACAGCTTCGTAAGGTGGTAGAACGCATCGGGTAGCTTAGCGGCTCCGTGCGCGCAGTAAAACGAGAGGTGCTGCAGCTGCGTGCAGCGACGCAGGAAATGTTGCATGCCAGCTTCAGTGGCTGGCGGGTCAGGCTTAACTGTTAACGAAAAAGCAGCAATGGCTTCTGGTGCTCTTAATGATGCTGATGGATTTCTTGATGACGACTCCGACAACGAGATGGTGATCGACTTGGTTAAGGAGGCCGACTTCAGGCTTCGCTCGGTTGCTATTTTGCTGATTCCCTTCATGCTGGAGAAAGAGGTTGCCTGTGTGATTGACGCAATCAAAGCACTGATAAAACACGGGTGGTATTCAGAGTTATCAGTGGATGCTGCGACAACAACGAAATTCCAAGAGCTTCAGCCGACGTATATTGCCAAGACGTGCTACTGTCGCCTGCAAATTTCTTTTGCAAGCGGATGCATCATGGGTGCGAAGGAAAGAGGCGATCTACCAGCCGCTCAAGAACAATGTTCAGCTGGTTACTCTCCACTGGCAGCACACGGAGGACACTGCTTACGCTCGGGAGAAGGCGCTGAACCCGCACGCTATCGAGATCTTCATCAAAGGAGTTTCTGTTGCGGTCGAGATGGACATGATTCACGACCATCTGGTGACTTACCCGCTTAAGAGCAGCAAGCGGTCGACCATTCTGCGTGGCTCTTGCCTTCACCGCGCGCTTCATCCTGTTACTGGCGCTGACACGGATGTGGTGAAAGCGCTGGTTTATGCTCACCCCGAAAACCGCAACCGTCGCTGGATACACGCTCTCGCTGATCCTGCTAACCGGTCGAAGATGCTCCTCGTCCACTACCCTTCCTTATCCTGTTCGCTCTGTGGTGGCAAGCATTATGATAAGTATCATGATGATTTTATCACTGAGCGTCAAAATAACGTAGGCAAATGGAACCTCAATCTTGGCAAAGTGCACAGGCTCAACGGTAAACGTAGCAGTCAGATCCATATCCGCATTCCTCTTACTATTCTTACCTCACCTACTAACTTGCCTCTCGATCTCCGCAGCTGCGTCGCTGAAAGCATCGCCATTGCGCTCATCTCTACCTTCAGCAGTAGGGAGGACTGGATCTGCACACATGCGGGCTGCGGGAAAGCAAAGGGGAAAAGCCTCATGGCAGCAGCAGACCACATCTCTGTAGCTGCTCACCTGCAGCAGCTGGCGAAGGCCGGTTCTGCCACGAAACAGTCGCTGGACAAAATCAACCTCACAGCCATCCGCAAGGAGTGCGGACTGTGACTATCCCTGACTGGTACCTGGATGCAGCAGCCTGTTGGTCATTACGACTTAGCCTTGCCTGTACTGTCTCATTCTTCAGCCTGTGGATGCTCAGGGGCTGCAAGTCAGTGGACCCATGAATATTAAAAGCCACCTCACCTTTTCCAGCCTAAACGTTAAAGGTTTAGGTAACACAAACGAAACAGTCTAGAGTGCTCAAGTGGTTTACGGAAGGATCTGACATCGCAATGCTAGTAGATACCAGACTAGAACCTGATCACACATACTGGACTTCTCTCTCAGCCACACCATTCCTCGCAACCGCACCTAGAACCAGTGCTGGCGGAGTAGCTGTCCTTAGCCGTAACCCATCCATCACCTTTCATGATTCTTTAGCTCACCCGTCAGGAAGAATAGTTAAAACCATAGTCAGGGGTCTTGGGCTGGACGTAGTACTTCTCGCAGTTTACTTCCCTTCGAGTATCCCCGCCAGAACCGCTTTCATTAGAGACTCCCTCGGCCCATTAATCGATCAGATCTCACCCTCGCATCACCTGCTTCTGATTGGGGACTTGAACATCATTGAGAACCCAAGGTTAGACAACTCATCTGGATGCGGGAAAGCCGTTGAGAATGAGAAACTCTTCCACCGCTGTGCAGCCTTTCAGATCTCGGATGCCTTTAGAGTACTGCACCCTGGGGGACGGGAGTACACGTTCTTTGCAAAAAGTCACAGAGTCAGCACTCGCATAGATAGAGCTTTAGTGTCACAATCGCTCTTGCCTTACCTTTCACACTCCGCGCATAAGATGCCAAAGGACCCCATTTCAGATCACGGGTACGCTATATCGGTTGCTTTTTGGCTGGACGAGAAACACTGCATGAATCCAGGGATTTGGCGTCTACACGTTTCGATGATTCACAGACCTGGGGTCAGGAGGATTATCGAGGCGACGGTGCGACGCACTCCTGTGAATGATGGTAGCAGCTTTGAGCTGCTTATAAAGAGGCTGGGGGCTGGACTCCGAACGTATGCGAAGGATGAATGCAAGCGGGTCAGGGCGACGCTGACGCACCTGACAAATGCGGTAGCAGCCCTGAAGCAGGAGATGATGAGGAATCCGGGTTTGTCCAACCACAGGTTCTCTACTGGAGGCGAAAGAGACGCAGCTGAAAGAGTATAATGCATCATGCACTGAACGACTAAACCCTGACGGCGGAGCTCACTGGGGAGATGGCCTCGAAGCACCTGTTGGCAAAAGTACGTGCAAGGAAGGCACGCACCAGAATCAAGGAGCTCATGGACGGCTCAGGGGTGATCACTGGCTCGAAGCAGATCTTGAACGCGGCTTCACAGTTCTTCGAAAAGATCTTTGGAAAAGACCGCCGTACCGACTTCTCGAGTTGGGATCTTTCCTCGCTGCGGAGACTGGACGTGGAGGTCGCAGAGGTGCTGTCGGTGGAATGGACGGAACAAGAGGTTAAACATGCCTTTGCGGCGATGTCGAGGAACAAGTCACCAGGCGGCGACGGTCTGCCGAAAGAGCTCTTCCAGGCGCACTGGGACCTGTTGGGGGGGAGCTTCATGACGATGGCGATGTGCTTTGAAGCGTCCGCCTCCCTGCCAGCAGAGACAAAGGAGGCGATTATGATACTGTTGCATAAAAAGGGCGATAAAGAGGAGCTGAATAACTACAGGCCTATAACTTTGTTAAACTTCACCTACAAGGTCCTGGCGAGAGTTGTAGCGGACCAGATGAAGGCGGTGCTTCACATGGTGATCTCCCCGGAACAATACGACTTCATTCCGGGAAGACGGTCGTCAGACGCGGTAGCCTTGGTGGCGGATGTCATCGATGCCGCTAAGAACGGCAACGAGGACTGGTATCTGTTGCTCGTGGACTTCCAGAAAGCTTTTGACTCGGTGTCGCGCGATTTCTTGTTTGAAATATTGGAGCGGATGGGCTTCCCGACACGTTTCGTTGGCTGGGTGAGAGGCCTGCACAAGGACACATCGACGAGGCTGTTAATCAACGGCTGGTTGGGAGAAGGTGTGGAAGTGGCGTCAGGAGTTCGGCAAGGGTGCCCGCTGGCGCCTTACCTCTTTCTCTGCGCGGTGGAGCCGCTGGCGCGGGAAGTGGAGAGGCAAAAGCTTGGTCTTGAAAAGAAAGAGTTGCGATTTAACTATCTCGGGTACGCTGATGACACGACTCTAGCCCTGCAAGGGGAAGCGCAAATCAGCAAGTCGGAGGAGGTGTTAGACCGGTTTGAGAAAGCGTCAGGCATGGCGACGAATAAGACGAAGTCAGTTTTATTACCTCTTGGGGCCAACCTGGGTGCAACAGGAGACGGCTCGAGCGTTTTTAAGTGGGCCGGCGCGGACGAGGCGGAGCGGCTGCTGGGGGTCTGGGTGACGCCGTCTGGAAGCTGTTTGCCGACCTGGAAGAAGGCATGGGAGCATATCACGGAGAAGTTAACAAAATGGCAGTTAAAGTACCTCACAATTTCGGCAAGGGCGACAGTAGTCAACTGCTACATCACCCCACTGCTGGCTTTTCAAGCTCAGGTCTATCCTCCCCCGACGGAGGTCTGGGAGGAGATTACCAGGCTGCTGCAAAGTTTCACATCGGGTAACCGGGTGGCAACAGTGAAGGGTTTCATACTCTGGAGCAGACCGCTACTTTACACTCCCAGGGAGGCGGGGGGAATCGGAGTACGAGACCCTGAGATTGTGATCACATGCCTCGCCGCCAGGAGAGTGGGGCTTTATCTCACGGAGCGGAACCCCATGAAGAAGGAGCTTATGGAGCAGGCGGCGGAGCTGCAGTTGGGTGCTGACACGTTTTCTTCTCACGCGAACCTGCTGAAACACTGGAAGGGGAGGAGCGAGAGGTGGAAACAGACGTGCGAGAATTTCATCAACTCCCCGTTGTGCATCCGACCAGCGATGGACAGTAGAGAGGAGGTGCTGAGGGAGCTTCTTGTTTTCAACAAGGCAACCCTGCTTAAAACGCTTGTCGGAGGACAGATAGACAACAAGGATGTATGGAAAGTGCGCATCGGCAAACTGCTGATGGACGGAGACGACGGAGAGCTGATACTGAAGTCACAAAAGGACCTGGCTCGTCAGCTAGGCGGTAGTGGCCCAGCGAGGTTGGCGGTGAAAGCGCTACTAATGGTGCCAGCGAAATGGTGGCAATTGCTGGGCTTCCCTACGGCCCTGCCTCGCTCAGTTGACTCAACGCCCCCGCTGAACATTATGTCAGAACCATATTGTAGGCTGTAGTGGGGCACTCCTTATGGGGTACAGTCCTGTTAGGTTTTGCCTATACAAACCCTGTACTGTCCTTTTTCTAGTCATTCCTCGTTCTATCTTTCACATGGTTTCAGAGCAGGTTCCCTAGTGGGAACGTGTTTTTTTAGGGCCCACCACGATTTTTCCTGCCCTGCCCGAAGCGCGCCTCGCGCCTGCCTCACCTGCGCCGTAGCGCGCCCTGCCCTACTGCCGCCCGTAGCGGCCCTGCCCTACCGGCCCGTCGCGGCCTTGACCTAGACGCCCTTCGCGGCCCTGCCCTGCTGCCCCACGTCGCGGCCCTGACCTCGCCGCCCGTCGCGGCCCTGCCCTGCCGCCACCTGTCGCGGCCCTGCCCTCAGCCGCTCGTCGCGGCCCTGCTGTACCGCCGCCCCGTCGCGGCCCTGACTTGCAGCCGCCTCGTCGCGGCCCTACCCTGCAGCCGCCAGTCACGTGCCTGCCCCACCCGCCGCCGGTGGCACCTGCCCTACCCTCCCCTGGTGAGCACCTGCCCTACCCGCGCCGCTGCGCCCTGCCCTGGCCGTCGCGTCGCCCTAGGGCCCGCGCGTCGCCCCTGCCCTGCCCGTCGCGCCACCCTAGGGCACGCGCGCCGCCCCTGCCCTGCCCGTCGCGTCGCCCTAGGGCCCGCGCGCCTCCCCTGCCCTGCCCGTCGCGTCACCCTAGGGCACGCGCGCCGCCCCTGCCCTGCCCGACGCGTCGCCCTAGGGCCCGCGCGCCGCGCCTGCCCTGCCCGTCGCTTCACCCTAGGGCACGCGCGCCGCCCTGCCCTGCCCGTCGCGTCGCCCTAGGGCACGCGCATCGCCCCGTGCAAGCCGCCCGCGCGCTGACCCTAGCAGCCAGCGCACTGCCGCAGCCCGCGAGCCACCCCTGCAGCCCGCGAGCCGCCTCTGCAGCGCCCGGCGCGCCCTGCCAAACCCTAAAATAAATAAATAATTATTATTAAAAAAAAAAAAAAAGAGGAGCCCTAGGTGCTGCTGTTCTAGGAGCTACTAGTGCTGCTACAGCTGTTACTGCTGCTACTGCTGCTACTGCTGCTACTGGCGGTGGCCAGATGCAGCTCCAGCGACGTCCGCGCGAGTCTCTCACGCCCCAGCAGCTTCGTGAGTGGTACGCTAGCTGGGGGTGTGGCGGTGGCCGTAGTGGCTGTCGCCCTAGAGCTGGTCGGTCGGGAGTGTCTGGCAGTGGCCAGATGCAGCTGCAGCGGCGTCCGCGCGAGTCTCTCACGCCCCAGCAGCTTCGTGAGTGGTACGCTTGTTGGGGCTGTGGCGGTGGCCGTCGTGGCTGTCGCCCTGGAGCTGGTCAGTCGGGAGCGTCTGGCAGTGGCCAGATGCAGCTGCAGCGGCGTCCCCGCGAGCCACTTACGTCACAGCAGCTTCGTGAGTGGTACGCTCAGAGTAGAGGGTCTCGGAGTACCGTTCGCTGCCCGTACGTCATTCGCACAGGTGATCGGGCTGGTCAGGGTTGCGGGACGGTTGGCCACACGCAGTCCCGCTGCTTCGCCCGTCTGAGCGACCCCTGGCGTACCGAGTTTGGCAACGAGGCTGAGCTCCCCACCTGGCTGGAGCTGCTTAGGCAGAGGGTAGATATCTTTGCTCTTGACTATGATGCTATCCTCACTGCCATGTATGCATTGCCTACTAGTGCTGAGGGTGCCTGTTACCTGTGTGTGCCGCGTGACCCAGGTATAGAGTCTGCTGCTCTAGGTGCT